CTCTCTTTGTCTGTCTCTCTCTCTCTTTCTGTCTGTCTCTCTCTCTCTCTGTCTCTCTCTCTCTCTCGCCAACGCAACGACTGCGCGCGCCTCCCAGCCAGCCGGCTCCGCCGAGCGCCGCCCGCCACACGCCGCAAGCACCCCCCGGGGCCGACCGACCCCGCCAGCGCCAGAGGGGGGCGAGGGAGCAGGGGGGAACCGCTGTCGCTGCTGCCGCCGCCGCAGAGGAGGGGGTGAGGAAGTCCTCCTCCTCCTCCTCCTCCTCCTCCTCCTCCTCCTCCTCCTCCTCTTCCCGTCCCCATTCCATTTTCTCCTCATCGATAACTCCTCCCCGTCGCGCCCCGAGGCCAGTCGAAAAGGCGGGCCCGTCGTTTCGCCTGAGACTTCCCCACAACTTCGGACCCCGAAGCTCAGAGTTTGCAAGAGCTTCACGGATGCAGGGCGGCCCGCTTTCAGAGTCTGGCTCTCGCCTTCGCGACGCGCGCAGTCGCCTCAATAAAAGTTTGCGAGGGCTTCGCGGAAGGAGGGCGGCTCCCTCCCGACTTGTCGTTCTCGCCTCAGCGCCGCGCACCTTCGTTGCAGAATGAATTGCACGAGCTTCCCGGATGGAGGGCGGTTCCTTTTCATAATGTGGCTCTTGCCGTAGCGCCCCGCACATTCGTCGCACGAGTCTGCGAGAGCTTCACGGATGGAGGGCGGCTCCCGACCTAGCGCCCGCACTGTTTTGCCTTAAACATCTGCAACAGGCTCCTTTTCAAAATGTGGCTCATGTTCAAACTGTGCAAAATGTGGCTCTCGCCAAAGCGCTGCGCACATTCATACTAAGAGCTTACAACAACTTCAAGGCTTTATGGCCAACGTCCCGGAAATGATAGATGGTGGCACGATGTCGGGATGTCAGGGCGCAGCAGTCACGTTGATCCGCGGTGTTGAAGTCCAAGCAGTGGCGTCCTGGCGCGACTCAGGATCGTCAGGATTCTGCATTTTCAAACGGATGTCTTCCAACGGGGCACTGCCCTCAGTGAAACTGAGTCAGTGTAGGGGCCCGTGAAGAGGGAACTTGGATGGAGGGTTTCTTGCAATATCGTTGATGAGTATGGGGGTTACACTGGTCCTCCTCCTCCTCCTCCTCCTCCTCCTCCTCCTCCTCCCATTCCTCCTTCTTTGATTGGCAATATAAATACCCCTAACCTTTCGGAAGGGGACCTGAGATAGGAGGGGCAAGCACATTTGGCATAGGGAGCCGTTTCTGCAGATGCATCAAACCAGCGGCACAGGTCGATTATCCCTAATTCAAAGACGGGGACCTCAGTGAGGCTGTGTCTGCATCGTGTTATCAGGATTCGGTTGTTTTTGGTATGGGTTATCCTGCTCATCTTGCGTATCATCCTGCTGCCGAAACCCGTCGTGGTCCCAACCCACTCAGCCCTGGAGCAAGAGCAGGAGCTCCCAGGCTTCGTGCGGTCTTCGAACGGATCATCATTTTCGGGCCCAACCCTGGGATACACGATGGAGGGGCGTCCATTCCCGATAAGGGTGCGTCCGAATAGCCCCCTTGGGGTGTATCCCAGGGGTCCCCCCTTATTCTGAGCGGCCAAACTTTCAGGCGGAGCTCGGGGATTGGGGGAGAAACATCGCCTGCGAGGGGCAAGCAGGGGAGCAGGGCAGCAGGCGGAGGGAGAAGAGGAGAAGAAGGGCAACTCAAGACCTCGGGGGAGGACGAGGATAACAAAAAGATACGGACTAGGAGGCATACCCGGCCAGCGTTGATTACCCGGCGGCCCTCTCCATCTGGAACTCCTAGGAGAAGCCTGGCTCAGAGTGCACGCGTCAAGAGCGAGACCACATACATCTGGAGTACCAACAAAAACCATGACGTACGCCGTGGACAAAACCACGAGATGAGCCCTCAACCCCTTCTCCACGCCCCGCTTGTCGAGCCCGGGGAGCCTGGGGGACCACAGAACACGGGACAAAAGAAGCTCGCGCGGTGCCTTCCCGCGATGCCCAGACGTCAGGGAGGCCAAAAGCGGCAGAGGACCGAGGAGGATGGATTTGGACGCCCGCAGTGGGTACGGTACGTTCTCGCGGCGTCGTTGTGCGGAAAGGTTTTTGACACCACGTCGATCGTTCAACCTTGAACCGATCGCGGCCCCAATCGTCCAAGTTGGAATTCCGTCGGGCCCTGTTGCGTTATCGTGCCCCTAGGTGCTTCCGCGTCGCAATATTCACCCTTGAACGCCTTCGCTGGTGTCGGCGGCGTGCCGACGCCGCATGAGCCTACCGTACGGAAAGATAGTGTACAATGCCCAACAACAAATGCTGTCCAAAACCAGTTGGGCAGGCGGCCTTCTGTGTAAACCGGGCAACTTCCGCGGCGACACCGACAGCGAGTCCTGGTCGAAATGATCAAGAACTGGTGTCGCTCATTGTGCCCATGGTTCCTTTGCCTTTTTCGATCGTCCCGCACGGATTTCCCAGCCGATGATAGAGAGATGAAGATTCACCCCCAAAATAAGCACTCCGAAGGAATTAAATGGGGCAAGGCTGTTTCGCAAAGGCCCAGGTTCGTTTAGTAAACGCCTCTTGTCGATGTCGGATTGGTGTTTCCTCCCTTGGTCTGCAGAGAGGTTGCCGTCTCGGCCTCTTCGTGGCGCTGGTGTGGGGGGGTCCTGTCCTGCTTGCAGTACAGCGCGTCCAAGAAGGAGGTGAAGCTCGGAGCGAGGACGTCCTCCCAACGGACAACGACCATTTTGGCACTCTGACACTCTGCATTGGTGGCCGAGAAGCCCGACGCAGCTCCTCGACGTCCTCCCAGCCTCCTCCCAGCCTCCTCCCTCTACTTCAACGTCGCCCAACTTCCCAGCCATGTTCGCGCTCTCGCGCGATCTCGCGCCGCCCGTTCGCTTCGACTCGTACGCCTCGGTTCGTCCAGCTTCAATCCGTCCGAGCACCGACAAGGGGCGAACCGAAACAGGACCGAACGAAAGCAGACGAAATGAAATACCACCCTCCTGGGAAGGACCGCCCCCAGCCCAGGCCGCGAAGCGCGATGCGGCGAGGCTATTTCTTCGCGCCCCCGCGTGCCGCTTGCGAGTGGCCTTGCTTGCTCTCCCCCTCTCCCCTTTTCCGGCTCTTCCTGCCCATACCCAGGAGCAGACGGAGAAGTCACGGCGACACCATGACATAGGACAGGTGTTTTTTTTTCCGCTAGCCTCCGAAGCGGCTCCCAAGAGCTTCCCAAAAGGCAACCAAACTGCCCCCAAGAGACCCCCGAGAGCGCTCGTCGTCGTCGTCGTCGTCGCCGTCGTCATTCGGGGGTCGGCGACACTGGCCGTAAGGCCTTCGCAGTAGGGAAGGTGCGCTTTTGTTCGCTAGCCTCGCTCGACCATGGGGCCGCTCAGAGGTGCTGGAGCGCCCGTCCACACGCCCGAGCCTCGAGCCTCAGATGCTACGGCATAGAGAGCGGCACTATCAACCATCGGGAACCGGGCGATGTCCATGGGAGGATCCGTCCTCGGGAACTGGAGTAGGTAGGAGGTAGGGGAGATCGGGGTGATCGGATCGGTGCCAGTCACCATCTTTGACACAACTGGCTAACTACACCCCCCTGTGGGGGTGGCCCACAGTAACCTTACTTCAGGGTCTTCTTAAAGGGATTCCTACGAAAGGAATTGGCAACTCCCTGCCCCGCCAAAAACCCCCTCCCTTCAGCACGGGGTGGAATGGGCCAGGGTTTCCCTGGCTTGAGGGGGAGGCCCTTACGAATTCTGTTCAAGTAGTTTGTGCCCGAGGGGGTGCATACCTTCAAACGAGGTTCCGCCAGCAGGACCAGTCTCCCCCATTTCGATGGCCACGCTCCCAAAATGCCCGCAGAACTTCCAGCACCACGCCAGCCCGCGCATCATCCCACAAACATGGGAGCTGTGGACCTCCTTGGTCTTGGCTCGGATCAGGCTAGTGAGGTGGGGTGGCACCAGGGCGGGGGTCCCAGTCTCGCTGCGGTCTCTACAGAGGGGGCCTCCTTCACAGCGAGTGGTTTCGAGCCAATCTAGGAGGGGGCTTCTTCCAGGCCCGTGGCGACAGACACGACAGGCCCATCCCCCCGTGCCAAGTCGCCCCAAGACGTGCCCTGACGCCTTCTCCAACTCGACCACCCGCCTGGAGGACCCCCCTCCCCCCTCGGGCACGACGCAAGGCACGTCCTCCCTGCCGCCGGCCTTTTCCGCCCACCAGGCGGTCAGGGCCGCCGCGCGATGGTGGATGCGGGCGGCCAAGGCGCCACCGGCGCGCAAGCGGTGCACCTCCGAACGGATCGCGCGACTGGCCTCCTCAGCCCCTTGTTGCGCAAAACTGTCGGCCACTTCGTTACCCCTAGACGCAGTCGGGCACTGGCCCACACGGCGGAGGGAGACTTCATCCAGGTGGCTGTAGCGCTTTCTAAGGACATCGTTTCCCTGGCGTTTCCGCCGAGCTTCCGCCGCGCGCGCGCCCACCAGCGCCGCAGACTGCCGCTGGGATTCCGCGTTTTTCCTTGGTGCCAGCCATCAAAACTATCTGGACATCGGCATATACGACCGCGTCCCCTTTCGTAAGCTTTAGGCTCCACCAAAGCGTCGCCAATTCAGCCGCGGGAGCCGCGCGTTTGCCATCGACCCCACCGCGCCACCCTGGGGTCGGGGAGGCATCAGAGGGGGTCAAGCCCAGCGAGGAGGAGATCCCTGGCCCCTGTTCGATGCACACCCCCCAGCCCACTCGGCACTCTCGGGGGTCCGACGAGGACCCAGACCCATCTAAAAACAGAGCGGAGGCCGCAATGCCTTGGTGGTCCTGACGGAGCTCTCCACAGGGAGGGGCCTAGGGCAGGAGTCGGGGCGTCGGCAGCTCGCACGTTCCAGGCCCGGTGGTCCCCCCGTCCGGGTGGCGGCAGGGGCCGAATTCCAGCTCGCAGGAACAATGCCCCGCAGCCATATCGAGGAATTTATGCCCTGGTCTAGTTCCCCACTAGCACGCTCACAGATTCCCTGGGTTCTGGTAACCCACGGTTGCTCAGTCTGCTGCAGCTGGGCATTCATAAAATCTGCGCCTTATGGTGTCTTCCGCTGGCCCCAAGCATTCTTCGCACATCCCATATGCTTGGCAGCCCGCCTTTTTTAAGACGAGCTCCAATCCAACGCGCACAGCACGCCGCACTTTCGAGAGCCCCGCCTTCTTTATTCATATTGTGTTTGTGCATGCGGGCGGTGTTAGTGCGCAGCATCGTGAGATCACCCCCGTTCTCTAAGGTCTCCCCTTCAGCGTGTTGGCTCGCCTGGGCCCATAGCATTTGGGTGATGGTTTCATCTAATGGTTCGCTCAACTCAAAAATATCGGCGTCTGGGTCGGGATCAAACCTCCACTCGCTCCCGTCAGGGGCCTCCCAAACATCAGGTTCGATCCCAACCCATCCCAACTCGCGAAGCGTAACGATCAAGGCTCCAATGGGTCCTGTCACGGCTCTCCATCGGGCTCGGCGTTTCAGTCGGGCAATCTTGAATTTGGCGGTTTTCCATCCTTTGCGAACGACATCCCAAAGGGAGGGATTGCGGGTCCAAAACTGGATCCGCTCACGGACCTGTCTCTTGACGCTTTCGGCCCAAGGGTCCTTCCCTCCAAATAAAAGAAGCATACTAGCAGCCGTACAACGCCCTGTCTTACAAAAACCCGCCACATCCGCAGCAAGCGCTCGACGCCGTCTGACTTCGGAAGGAGGGATTCCAAAAAGAGGGCGATCGCACGACATTTTAGCCCTAACGTTAGCATTGTACAGAAGGATCCTACGATGACGACGGTTTCGCCCCAGGTTGCCGAAAACGCGGGCCCGGGTGGCCCTCGCACGACCGAGACGCTCACGTGTCAAACCGGTGCCTCGGGCCCGTCTCTGGCCCATGGTGTTGTCGGTCCCCAGGTCCTTCATGACATCGGTTCGCCTGATGATAATGATGCCTCTCTTTTCCAGCGCCTCGGACACCATGGCCGCATCTTGTTCGTTGACCGCCATGATGGTTGACTTGTTGGAGATTTTCAGCCTGGCGTCCAGACAGCCCTGCACCAACGTGTCTGCTGCCGTTTGACGGCAGGTCAGACCACGTCCTCTGGTCCTTCCACCCTTACTGAAATGTCGTCCACAAACTGTCTGATTCGTGCCATCGGGGTCGCACGGTGGACTGCTTCCAGTACGTGATACGTGATAGAATAGCGCACGAGCCCCGTGGTTGGCCTTGCCACATCCAGGGACCATCCCATTGGTGGGTACGATGAGGTCGCTGAAGTTGCCGTTCATCTTGACCAGTCTGGGGCTCAAGTAGGACGCCACGCGCATGTGGAGCTCGACCGCTGGGTAGTCCAACTCTGAGGCTCGTTTGCGCAAAATGCCCAGGTCCACCAAGTCGTGGAACTTCTAAACGTCTTGGTGGAAGCTGGCCTGGCTGGCCTCCTGCAAGTGGGCCCGACTCTCATCGCACCGCTGTCGCCATTGCTGCCTGCAGCGCGGAACTGTTCCGTACTGCTGCGCCCCAAACCCTGCACGTTGATCGCACCACTCTGCGAGCGTATGTTTGGTCATCTTCCCCCACACTCGCACTGGAATCGGTAGCAGTCCAATGGGTCGTTCTTCACCTGCAATGTGTGGTCTCCCCTTTGGGTAGTGCTGCGTACCAATTCTGCATCAGTTGATGTGGCCACTGCAACCTCCTCTCAACGCGTCGAGCACCATCAGCAAGCCTTCTTTACCGCTGGGACTAAGCGCGCGAAGTTGATCTGGAGCCCACTGGTCTGCCCCTCGCCACGTCTTGGCTGGGAAGCGGTCGAGCGCCGCTTGCAGGTCCTCCGTGGCGTGAAAACGTCGGTCCTCGAGCTCCTCCTCTGCCCTCTTCTTTAGGATGTCCATCTGGTAACTGGCCTCCCCCATGTGTTGATGGTGCTTGGTCCATCGCGTTACCAGCGCCTTCCTGCGTAGTTCGATGCCCCTGCTGGGGTCCATCTCCCATTCCATGGTCTCGGGGTCCAGGCAGCCGTCGGTGAGCTGTGCGATCTCTTCCTTGGCGATGTATCGATGTGCTGCACTCATGCCGCCTTTGGTAGCCCGCGTGGTCCAGTGCCGTATCTGACGCCGTGCATCTTGCCGCGCCAATCGCGCATGCCGTTCAGCTCGTTGATGCACTTCGGCAATGATGCCCCCTTGAATTATTGGCATAAGCTGCATGACTGAATTAGGTGGAGTTACGCGTGAATCTTTATGCCGAACTTGTTGAGCTTGATGCAGGTAATCGTGCTCTTGCCTTGCTTGACGTTGCCCTTGGCCCTGTATTTCTTCGCCTGGTTCTTGGTCGATAAAGTCGAACGGGCCCAGCTCGCCTTCACGCGTGGATTGCCGTTGACCCTTCTGATCATCGTTACCGAACTGCCTGCCCTCCGTGCTTGAAATCGTCGCTGGTGGCCTGGGTGTTGTCCTTGTGCGGGTGCGCTGCCGTTCCTCCAGCGATTCCACGCCTGGCGAGGCAGCCTCATGGGGTCCCGCCCTACCCTGAGGCAACGCGGGTCCTGCGAGGCGCTGCGAGCACAGGGCAGTCTCCTGCTTCTCTGGAACGGTGAGCTCACCCTCTGCTGTACCCGAAAGCGTCGCCGGCCCCTCCCGACTGCGTATTTGGGCAAAAATGGCGACGAATACCTCCTGATTAGCGCCGAGGTCACAGCCATCGGCCTCTGCCCAGCATGGACCCCCGCGGCCCAGCATACAGGGTGCATCCCGCTCAGAAACCGTTGGCCCGACTCTTCGACGCGGGCCGGAGGAAACCCATTGGCCGAGCCCCATGTCTTCCGAGCCAGCACCTCCGACCTCGATTGGGCTGCCAAGCCTCGCGTCGGTGCACGGGTGGCACTGAAAATGTGGCGTACGCATGACCAACCGTCGCAGACCTTCGTCGATGTCGGAAGCGTGGTTGGTGGCTGGTCGTCGCCGGTGTTGGATGGCTCCGCTGGGAACCCAAGTTGTCGCCCAATCCGCGTTTGCACCTGGCCATCCACCTGGAAGTCCCTCGGGTCGTACTTGCTGGCGTCCCTGTCGCGGATGGTGATCAGCTCTTGGCGCATGTGGCTGACGGTGGTGATCGCGGCCTTGGTGGTGTTGGCGTCGGCGTGGCTCCGCTGTAGTACTGCTAGTTCTCGTAGCCGCACTGCAACCGCTTCCCAGAGGTTGGCGTCCTTGCGCTTGGCGGTGTTCTCGAAGGGCTCGGATCCTCGCTGGTGGGCTGCCTTCTCCTTCAGAAAATGTGGTACGCCTCCTCGAAATTCACTACGTTGTGCCGGGTGCCCTTGTAGAATCGCCAACGACGTCTCGGCTGCTCTGCTCCGCTGACCGAAGTGCCATCCCAATAGTTCTGCCCCATCCGGGTCTCTGGGTCCCGTCGGTAGTTCCAAGCTTGCTGGGTAACTGAGGCCGCCCTTTCCACCGTTTCGTCAATGCTGGTGCAACGCCTCCATCCACATGTCATCCGTCGCCGTACCTCTAACCTCCTTGAGGCACTCCTCCTCCAGCACGTGTCGGTGGATGTCGTGCGGGTCGTCGCTGGCGTTGGTGCCGTGGTCCTCTTCTGGCTGGGTCAGTTTCGCGTGAAGCTCTCGATCGCGCTGAGCTCGCTTGGGCCCCTTCCTGACCTTGATCTTCTGCGTTGGGATCTGCAGCTGGATGAGTTGTCGCGGCACTTGGGCACTGACCGCTGCCGGCCTGGCTGCCGGCGCCAGATCGAGCCCGAGGCGCGGGCTCCACGGCACATCGCACACCACCTTGAAGTACTTGGCCAACGGGAAGAAGTTGCGCGAGCAAGCCCCGTTGTCGATGAGCCGCCCTTTGCCCGAAGTGCACGTGAATGGGCTGTCCGTTGGTAGAAGGAGTTCGCCTCCGATAACTTGCAGCCATCTGAAGTTCACGAACTGTTCTGGCGCGTCGTTCCAATCGCCGAGCGCGACCCACGGCGTGGCCAGGGGCTTGGCCGCGCGCGTCAGCTGGAGCATCTTGCTCGCATTCTTCTTCTCGAAGCCAATGCCCGAATCTAAATGGATGCAGATCAGCGCGATGGTGACCCCCTTGGGTCTCCAGATCATGACTGAGATGTCCTTCAGGTTCTTCTGGAACACGCTCTTCCCCGTAGCGTCAGGTAGGCGTGCTGAAGTAAGTAGAACCTGCTCGCGCCATCCAGCAGGTTTCCCTCTGAGAACCAGTCGTGCTCCGCCCCGTAGGTGCTGCTGGAGTCCACGTGCGCGGCGAATGCCACCCCTGGCGCCGCAGCTTCATGGCCTCGATCATCGTGGCGTTCCCGAGCAAGTGGTGCTCCGCAGCGCCGACAATGTCAAGACTGGCGCGCTGCGCGTAGTGCCGCACCTTTCTCGCCGAAGTGGGCGACGTTCGCGAACAGCACGCGTGGCGCGCGGTCCTCAGATGCACCTGCACTTCTGGGTTTGGCGACGCGCCCGCTGGAGTTACCCGCAGGTTGGCCCAGCTGATGCGCCTCCGCCGCCGCTGGCAGCTGCCGCTGTAGCCGCCCGCGCCGCGGCCTTGGCCTTGAACTGGGCTGTTGCCTCAATGTACTTGTTGACGGCATCAGGATATGTGAAGTCCAGGTTCTCGGCGCGGGCGCCCTGCTCGTCTTCCTTGGCGGCGTCCTCAGGGACTGCACTGGTAGCCTGCGCCGTTCCGTCGCTGCGCTTCTTCCGTTTGGCGTTAACTTCCTCGTGTAGCTTTCCAAGTCGCGCAGCCGCTTATTTGGCATGTTCGCCTGCTGCCGCGGCCTGCTTGAGCGTCGCCGACGCCTCAGCTGCTGCCTTCGTAGCCTCTTCATACTCTCGCTTTCCTTCAGCTCCCAGCGTCTCCAAGTCGTCTGCGCCCAGCTCTGGGAACTCGGTCTCCTCCCGGGGCTTCTCCTGATCTGATGGGGTAGCTGCCCCCGCAATGGTCTCCCCCACCAGGCTGTCCACCTCCGCCTGAGCCGCCAAGCGCTGTTCCACGTTCTCACTGAGGCGGCGGGGCAGCTCCTTCTGAGACTGGGCGGCCGCCACCAGCTGCGCCTTGATTTTGCCTTGCTGAGTCTGTAGTTGTCGAAGCTTCTGCGCGGCCGCTGCCAGCTGCCCCTCGGCGTGCGTAGCTGGTGGCGGTGTCCAGAGCGCTCCGAACTCTGGGCAGATCGCAAGCAGTGCCTGCTGCTTGGTCGTGTAGATGTCCTCCTTGGCCTTGATGCACTGTGGCAGGGGGGCTGCTGCCGGCCCGCTGGCTGCCCCCGAAATTGGCAGCGGTCCTGGTTTGAAGGTGGGCCGTATCCTTCCTGCAGGATCTCGTCCTGCCACCACGTCGGCGAAGGAAACGCTGCACTGATGCTGCTGATGAGCCTTGCTGGGCTCGCTCCACAAAATGCCACTGGACGGACATGTGCCCCGCCCCTGCGTTCCAACCTTGCTAAGAAACACCCAAGAACCAAGGCAATGCGGACATGATGCAAAGTTGTTGCCGACTCCTGGAAGAAAACCTCGGACGCGCTTTGCCATCTTTCGGACCACCTCCCATGGAAACTGGCACACGCATTTTCGCCACCCTTCTGGGCGCCCCTCAAGCCGCGGGCACGCCTGGATGGAATCCCTGAAAATCAGTCGGCGCACGGCACGCGTACGCGCGCGTGTGTGTGACGGCCCTATCACCAGAAAAAGGACTCGACACTTTTTACCAACGCGAGAAGGTCGCCCCGTGGCTCAGGAAGAAAAAGGAGAGCAGCAGGAGAAGGGAGGGGAATAATAGGAGAAGGCAGCAGCAAAAGCAGCAGTGCTCAGCCGGGCTGCGGCTTTGCGCAGCCCGGCGCCGCGCGGCTAATTAGTCCGCGGCGCCCAGCAGCTCGGCGAGCTCGAGGAGCTGCGCCGCAGCCAGGCGCGCCACCTGCCGCGCCACCCGGCCGCGGGCCGCGGGCAGGCGCCGGCCCTCTGGCCGAGGTGGCGCGCGGCGACCCGGGCAGGCGCCCAGCCGCGCTGGAAGGTGGCGCACACAGCCTCGCGCAGCCCCTCGGCAGCCTCCGCGGCCGCCGCGTCCGCGGCCGCAGCCAAGGCCACCGCCTGAGCGGCCTCCGCGGCGCGGTCCGCCGCCGCCGCGCGTGCTGCCGCCGCGGCGCCCGGGGCGGCTCCGGCGGCCGCGCCTCCAGCAGCCCGCGCGCCCCCCGCGGGCAGGGTCGCCGCCTGCGTGCAGGGCGTCGAGTCTGGCGGCTTCTCCTCTGCCGCCAGGTCAGCCCAGAGCCGCCGCTTCACCGGCTCTGCCCCCGGCGCTACCGCTCCTGGCGGCGCCGCCGGCGGAGCTCCCGCTCCCGGCGCTGCCGTCGCAAGCGGAGCGGCCGTCGGGGCCCCCGCTCCCGGCGCTGCCGCCGCAGCCGTCGGAGCCCCCGCTCCTGGCGCTGCCGCCGCAGGCGGAGCGGCCGTCGGAGCCTCTGCTGCGGAGTCCGTCCGGCCACGCGCCCGCGGCGGGGTGGCGACGGCGGCGGCCGCAGCCGCGCGCCTCTCCGCCATGCCCCCCGACCACCGGCCCCGCGGAACTCGGGCGCCTCGTCCCGCGGGGGGGCCGGGGCAGAGGGGCCCAGCCGCATCTGGCTGGCCTGCGTGCTGCGCCCAGTTAAGCCCGTCATACTCGCGCTCGATGGGGTGCTCGCCTGCTGCGTCTAGCGGGAGCGCCGGCGGCCCTCCCAGCGGAGGAGGCCAGCAGCCACCGCCTCGGCCAGGACGCCCTCCGCGACCCCCCCCGGCCGCGAAGCCCCAGCCGCTCGCCCTGAGCGCCGCCGCTACCGCCTCCGCGGGGGGCGCCGCCTGCGGGTCCCTCGGGCCCGTCGCCCGCGGCGCGCCGTCCGCGCCGTCGTCCGCCGCGGTGGCCGCGCCGCCGCCTGGCCCTGCTCCCAGCGCTGCCGCTGCCAGCGGAGCGGCCGTCGGAGCCCCCGCTCCCGGCGCTGCCGCCGCAGGCGGAGCCGCCTTCGGGGCCCCTGCTCCTGGCGCTGCCGCCGTGGGCGGAGCTGCCGTCGGAGCCCCTGCTCCCAGCGCTGCCGCCGTGGGCAGAGCCGCCGCGGGAGCCCGCGGCGCCGCCCCCGGGGAGCCGCTCTCGGAGCCGCTGGAGCTGCTGCTGCCGCTGCAGGCCCGAGCAACCGTCGCCGCCGCCGCCGCGCTTGGCCCTCCTGCGAGAAGCGTCCCTTCTGCGGGGAGTGCCTGCGCGCGGCTTCGGCCTCGGCCGGGCGCCCGCGATGGGGAGTAGCTGGAGTCGCCGCTGCAGGAGCGCTGGCCCGGGGGGCTCGCTCGCGGCTCGTCGCCGCCCGCCGCGGAGCAGCGCGTGTCGGCTGCCTCGGCACAGATCTGGTGCGCCCGTCCTGCCCTGGGGGGCTGGGGAGCGGCCGCGCGTGTGGCTGCTCCGGCGGGTGCGGCGCCGGCGGGCTGCCCGCTCGCTCGGGCTGCGTTCCCGGCGCGAGCGCCGGCGCCGGCGCCGCAGCGCCCGGGCGCTGGGGCTGCTGCTCGAGCGCGCCCTGCGCCGGCGCAAGCGGCGCCCAGTAGCCTTCGCCGCCGGCCCCTTGCCAACCTGCGGGCTGCCGGCGCGCGCGGGCGCCTCGGCGCGGCATGACCCAGGGGGCGCCGTCGCCGGCACCTCCCGCCCGCGCAGGAGTGCCGTCCCCCGCCGGGGGGGGGCCACCGGGGCCGGCCGTAGCGTCGCCGCCCTCGGCACCGTCACCGGCGCTCCCTGCGCGGGAGCCGGCCTGGCGCCCGGCCGGGCCTTCGCCAGGAGGCGGGTTCGGGGTCTTCCTCCACGGGGCCACCGCGGGGAGGCAGGGCACTGGGATGCACAGCCACGTGCACGTCTGCCCGCCCGGCTGCCACGCGACGGCATGGCTGCCCGGTTGCATGCGCCGCCCCGCGGCGCCCGCAGCCCGGCCAAAACAGCAGGTGGGCCCTCGAGCCCACGGCCGCGGCAAGCTCCCAACCCCCCCCCACGGGGGTTGGGAACTTGAGCCAAAATGGCTGAACCAAAATGGCTTGAGCCAAAATGGCTACGGAGAAGAAAGGACTCGACACACACACAAAGGCTTGAGTAGGTAGGAGGTAGGGGCGAAGAGTGAGACAGCAAGAGGAGGACGGAGAAAGAAGGACGATGAGGACGGGGTTGGAGGAGGAACGGGGGCGGAAGGGATGAGGGGAAGGATGGAGGATTGAAGGAAGAGGAGGGGGGCGCTGAATGGCGGGAAGAGGGAAGGAAGAGCGAAGGAAGAGGGAGGGAGGGATGATGGAATGAGAGAGGAATAATGGAAGGAGCAGGCGGACGACGATGACGGTCCGACATCTGGCTTGCGCTTTTACGATCTCGATTCGCCTGTGGGCTTGCAGCAACGGTACGACCCCTTTACTGGTGCTGGTCCACCATTCCCCGGCGAGCTCGCACATGTTCCTCGGCGAGCTCGCACATGGTTGGGTCGGCACTTCCCTCCTTGTACGGACTCCATCTGAATCTTCATTATACCCCTCGCTGCTTGCTATTGCTCCTGCGACCTTAAGCGAACACACGGCCGCCATGCCCTGAGAAAGTATCCATCCGAGCGCTCCTCGAGTGACAGCAGGCGAACGGGAGTGATAGAGGGGAAATCGGGGGGGGGGGGAGAGAGAGAGAGAGAGAGAGAGAGGAACACAAATAATGATATTGGAAGACAGAAAACACGATGAGAGAGAGAGAGCGATAACATAACAACGTGTCTGAATGAGAGACAGAACTTTGTACAGAGAGAAAAGAATAGGGAATGGAGGGAGGGAGGGAGGGAGGGAGAGAGGGAGAAAGAGAGAGAGAGAGAGAGAGAGAAATAAAAAGACAGGGACAGCGGGGACAGGAAGAGAGCTAGTTATATGCAAACGCATACAAAACATGTGGGGAGGGAGGCACACACCGACGGACCGAGCCTCACAGCTGGCCAGCGACAGACATGGTTCGGGAAGGGGACCGGACAAGCATGACCATCCGCGCCAACTCCACGCGATGAGATGCACGAAGACGAGGATACTGAGCTGGGGGAGGGCGACGAGTGACTTGATGGATGTTGAGCTCGATGAGGACTTCCTCTCTCCTGACCACGCCGTCTCTCGCCGCTGTCCACATCGCCGCAACTCCCTTTTCCTCGAAACGGATCCTCCACTGTATCTCTCTCTTTGCTCTCTCCGGTTCCTCCACTTCTCTTTCTGCTCCTCTTCAACACCAAGCAGGAGGAGAAGGAGGAATCCGCTGTCCCTCAGGAGGGCCATCCAAGAAGCACACCCAGGCAAACTCGACGACAGGGCAGTGAAAACAGAAACTTGGAAAAGCTCCGGTTTCGAGTGAAGCGCGGGCAAGATACCAGAAGGCGGCTGATATCAGATTGCCCCCAAAATGTATCGGGCCACTGTTGCAAGCGTTGTTCCGTGACCCCTACCGCATGGCCTAAACGAGCACAGCCGTAAATTCAACACAATATCATGGGAACGCGGAGGGAGAGGATGTAGTGAAGCGTTGCGGATGCATTTCCCCATGATCCTGGCGACCTTTCATAAAATCAAGCATCGCAGACCTCCAATACCACGAGGTGCAGCACAACTCAGTAAATGGCACAAGGTCAGACAAATCCTTCTCACACCACAACGGAGAAAGTTAAAGAGGGGGAAGCGGAGGAAGAAACCTCGAGCAGAGGAAGTCGTTTCTTCCACTTCTCTTGGGGACTGCAATGGTGGATAGCCTCGGGGAATTATACACATTCGCCCAACTACAGGACGACGCTCGAAGTGGTGTCGAGACGGCTTCTGCTGCAGGAAGCATTGCGGCAAGGCACGGAATATCTATGGAATGCTCTCGAAGACGACTACTTGCTTGTCATGTCTGAGTGGCACGCGGTTTGCCTGATTGGAGGGCTGTATGTTGCTGCGCACGTGGAATAGTATCCGCATGTTCGCCTCATTTGTGGAGCGAGCTTCCCCGAGCTGCTCGGACGTGCCATGCCCTCCCCCTTCCTCCTGGGGCTGTCCGCGGCAGCCCCTGGGGCTGTCCGCAGCAGCCGGCGTCCCAGACTCCCTCCTACTCTGTCAGGGCAGCGGTGGGCCCGAGGACGCCAACTGCACACCAACACCGCCAGTACTGGCTAGGCCCTTCGTGGGCCTGGGGTCGGCGTGGACGCCTTCCCTAGCGCCTGGCCGGGAATACAAGGTTTGCCCTGGGGCCGTAGGCGACCCGAGGAGGGGGAGGGGAAGGAGGAGACGAAGGAGGAGGGGGAGGAGGAGGGGAAGGAGGGAGGATGAGGATGAGGATGAGGATGGGGATGGGGATGATGATGATGATGATGATGATGATGATGATGATGATGAGGAGGAGGAGGAGGAGGAGGAGGAGGAGGAGGAGGAGAGGAGGAGGAGGAGGAGGGGGAGGAGGAGGAGGAGGAGGAGGGAGAAGGAGGTGCGATACGATGCGATGCGATGCGACCACCGTTGCGGACAGCGTCCTGGCCTAGAGCAGACCAGGTGGGTGAGGCCATGGCCTCTAGGATCTGATGTCTGGATACATCAATGCGAGACATGTAAAAAGTAGGATGAGAGGGGGAGGAGGAGGAAAAGGAAGTCCTTGGTGTCGGTGTCGGCGCGGGTTGGGCGGGACGTCTCGACGTTCGCTGAGATTTTACGTCATTGGTCTGAGTCCCAGGTGCTGGTCGACGTGAGGTCGGTGAAGTGGTGCTCGAGCGCTGTCCATGCTTCGGTGTCTTGGGCTGTTTGCGTCCATGTGATGTCGTTCGGTTGTCCTTTCGAATGGGCTTGCGTGGGCGGTCGGTGGAGGTCTGGTCGGCGTTGACGTAAGTACGTGGTGATTTCGTCGTCCCAACGCTTGTTTGGGCCACCGTGCTGCCTGTGTCCCCGCTGGCGCGGGTTGAGGACTGGGTGCCAATGCAGCACTCGCCATGTCTACCTCGTCCTGTCGTGGTTTGCGACTCGCGAAGCCATGCGCCATACTTTCCGTTTGTGCAGCGTCTCCAAGTTGTCAATGTGGTGGAGCTTCATGAGGTGCTCTGCGCGTCGTGTCGATCGCTGGATGTAGTCGACCCATGGTTCCATGTCGTCTGCGGTGGTGCTGTCTTCGCCGCATGCGCAACATGCGTCGTTGTGTCCGTCGTAGATGCTGCCGTACAGGCCCCGTGAGGGTCCACGTCTCTGCTCCGTATGACGCTGTTGGTGCCACAGTGCTGTTAAAAAGCTGGAGTCGGTGAGCCAATATTGGCTGGTCAGCTCCTGCTTGCGAGACGTGAGTGATGCCCATGCAGCTCGCGTGCGGTGGTGGATTTCCGTTTCCATCGGTTCGTGGAAGCTGATCAATGAGCCGAGGTATGTCATACTGCCCTCGTATGGAACGATTTCTATATCCATGTCTTGGAAATGTGCTGTGCGTGAGCTCGCCCTTCCGGTCCTTCTCGTATGGTTACTCAGTACTTTGGTTTTGCTTGGGTGTAGTTCGAGCCCGTGTAGTCTCGTCGCGCGCACAATGTCGTCAAGCATCGCTTTCAGGCGGGGCAGAGTTTGGCTGGTCAGGAGCACGTCGTCGGCGAAGCGTAGGTTGGTCAGCGTGGCGGTGCTCGTGAATGCCAATTCAACACCCTTCCTTTGTTGTTGCCATTCGGAGACCAGCGGTCCAAGGATGTATTGCAGAGGGGCGTGGAGGAGGAAGAAGGTGGAGGGAGAAGGAGGTGGAGGGAGAAGGAGGTGGAGGAAGGAGAGGGTCGCGGGAGGTGGAGGGAGACGGAGGTGGAGGAGGAGGAGGAGGAGGAGGAGGACGGGTCGCTTAAGCCCTTCGGAGAAACCCTCGAGCCGGGAAGCCGTGCACACGGAGCCCCGGATGTCCAGGACTCGCCCAGCCGGGGCCCGAGCAGGTGCACAGCTGGCGCCCTCTGGGCGGAAGCGCTCGGCGAGTCCTCCGCAGGGTAGCCGTACGGCGCTGTCTGAGCCCTGCCCGCGCGTCCGCTCTGGGCTCGCGCGCGCCGCTGTCTGAGCCCTGCCCGCGCGTCCGCTCAGCGCCCACGCGGCTGGCCCTCTGGGCACCCTGCCACCTTCCGCCTGCTCCCTCGTCCGAAAGAGGCGTGGGACGATCTCGGCGGGCGGCTGCACCCACTTCGGGCCCCTGCAGGAGCCCTCACAGATCAAACCCTGGCTCGTGCACGAACGAGCGAAGTCTGTCCTCGCCGAGAAGGGCCAGCGCCCCTGCATGGGAGGCAGGCGCGCCTGTAGCACGCAGGCCCTCCACGAAGGCTACTGGAAGCGGTGTAAGCATGGGGCCCAGTGTAAACATGAGGTCGAGAGCTTCGTTCGTGTTACTTTCCCACGACCTCGCGATTTGTCACGGCGTCCAGTGTTTGGGCCCGCCTTCTCCTGAGCCTCCACACTTGGTCGCCCCCGTGATCCAACTGGCTTCCTTGCTATGCTGTGCAGAGCGCCCAAGTGCTCAGCCGTATACAATACAGGGGCGAGCTCCGCGCATGCATGCGTGCATATATGCGGGCACACGCCGCACGCTTGGGGTCGTGACCGCTCGAAAGGCCCTACCCCCTTCTCGCACCACGCGCAAACCCAACACTCCCGACTACCCGACCTCTGCATGTCTGACTGCGTGCACACGCACAGAGTTGCAGGCCGACCCGCAATACGCAGATCTGCAAATCTGACCTCGAGCGTGGCCACTCATGCGCGCCCAAGCTGCTACAATGCCAGACAAACCTCCGCGCAAAGACAAACAATACACACTTGTGCCTGCACTCGTACACTCGGGCAAGATCTCGCGCTCGCGCTCCTTTTTCTCTCACATCCCTTTTGCCCTCCCCCGACCTCTGTCCCACACCCTCCAACTTCCCTGCCCTGCCCTCTCACCTTCTCCCTTCCCCCCCACCTTTCCCTCGATCTTAGCCGACGATGCCCCAGACACGCCGACAGCGAGCGCCGCTCGGCCTCACAAGGAAGCGTGTGTCATTCAAAGCGCGCTCTCGTGGATCCCTGGCGCCTGTGGTTATGCTACTGGATTATCCCCCTTCCGCTGGAAATGCGAGACGAATCGCACCCGTTGCATGTTAATGTGAACAATGCTGCCTGACTGCCATTCCAAGGTAGCTGCGAGGAGATCGGCAGAAAAAGGAAGAGAAGGACGACGAGGGAGCGCTTGATCCTGGAGATGCTCATCCGCCCCTGGATCCCACCGCTGGTAGTCCCACGAACGGGCCGACGAGGTCGTTCCCTTCTCGTAGGCCAGTTCGGGATCGCCTCCCGGACAGCTGGACAAAACCGCGCCACATCAGCACCGGAGGAATGCGAGACTAGAGCCGCGCACGCGCCTCGCGCGGTCTCAGGAGCGGGAAGAGAAACAAATGGGCAGGGGGAAGAATAACAGGGGATATGTCGACCCCTAATTCTCCCAGCTTCTGGGAGGTGTTCGAATAGACCAGAAATGTTGAGCCCCACACTGGGATATGCCATAGGAGGGAGCGTCCATCCTTGATAGGGGATCGCCTGCGAAGAAGGAGGAAGGAAAAGGGGAGCGGGAAGAAGGAAGAGCACCATGAGAGCGTGCAGGAGAAGCAGGGCGGAGGGGAGGAGCCGGAGCAGGAGGGGGGGACGAGGCGAGTGGGAGAGCAACGGGGGAGGAGGAGACATGGAAATGGAGAGGAAGAGCGGGGAGGGGCAGGGGGAGGAGGAGGCGCAGAAGCGCATGGAGGGGCAGAAACAGGAGGCGCGGGAGGAGGCGCTAACCGGGCTCGAACTGATACGTTCGCCAACACGTGATCTGACGCGTGCTGCGCCAACGCGCAGCGTGCTGACACGGACGTCTTGAACGCGGCACGTGCGGCGTTTCAGCACGGGCGCATCAGGGCAGCGTGGGAGGAACAACCCCGCCCACAGCCCCCCCCCCCCCCGGCCTACGTCTGCTCCAGAATAGGTGCCGCGCGGGCGCACCCAGGCCGCCTTCCCTCTCTGCTCCGAGGCGGCGCGGGGGCGAGGCCGGTCGACCGCGCGGGGGCTCTCGGGAGGGGGAGGAGCGGAGGGGGGAGAGGGGGGGAGGAGCGGGGATGGGGGGGCGGAGGATGGGGGAGAGGGGGGGGAAAGGGGGGAGAGGGAGGGAGGGAAGAAGCGGAGGGAGGGGGGAGGGCGAAGGGGAGGGAGAGAGGGAGGGAGGGACGGAGCGGAGGGGGGGTGCGGCGAGCGGAGGGCGGGGGGGAGAGGATGGAGGGGGGAGCGGAGAGAGGGAGCAAGGGAGTGGGAAAAGAGAGGGAGCAGGGGAAAATGTGCAGCCATCGTGCTGCCATACGGAACGCTGGATACGAAACAGGTAGGTTTTCTTGGCCAGCGCGAGCCTCGGCCGTGGGAGCCCCACACCAGCTCCAGAGCCACAAATGGTCCTCATGTCGGCGTCTTGCCAGTAGTCAGAGAGGGAGGGAGGAAGTCAAGGAGGCGGTGGGGAGGAGGAGGACGACGAGGGCGACGACGAGGGCGATGACGATGACAGCTGAAGAGTGCGAGCCGAGGTTGCCAGCCCGAGGGTGGTGAGCTGCACGACGCGACCATGCGACACATCGAATGTCTGCGATCGCTGTAATGTGGCGATGAGTCTAAGGATGACGAGGCGTACGAGTACGACGGCCTGATGAAGATGCGCTTGATTTCTATTTTGCGCGCTCTCGTTCGCCAGGGCCTCCACCAATGCGCCCATGTGAGCCAGCGCACCTCGAGGGAGCGGAGACAAAGCCGGGCTTGCTCAGACGCGTTTCCCGTTCCCGCCTCCTCCTCATCTTCCTTCTCCTTCTCCTCCTCCTCCTGGTCCTGCTCCTCTTCTCCTCCTCCCGCTCCTCATCCTAGTCCTCCTGCATCTGCTGATACACGCCCTGTTCCTCCTGCCGATGCTACGTATCCTCCCCCTTCACAGCATTTTCGTGAGGCCCCCCAGTAATTGGATAAGCAAGAGGATGGGTACGCGCCCGCGTGGGATGGGGTAATCGCGCGCTTGTGCGCGCGCGGCGGAACAGACCCCCTCTCGCTCGGGTCCCCCGCATGCGGCGTGGGGGATCTGACCCAAAACACCGCGCATCTAGAGACAACGGTAAGACCGTCTGGGAAGCAACCTATTCCTGGCTGGCCCTTCAGACCACAAGCCCTTCAAGGTCGTTCCCCTGAACTCTCCCCGAGACTATCCTGAAAACTGTTCGAACCGCGCTCCAGCCTTGGCAGCAAACCATCTGGCCCCCGTGTTGAAGTATGCTGTTGGTGTGCATCAACGTCCCGCCCCTTCTTGTCCCCCCCCCGCACGCGCACGCCCCCATGCGCGCGGACAGAGCGACGAGGTGGACGAGGTAGGAAAAGGTCCACGTCGTCGCCACCGTCGCCGTCGCTCTCGTCGCCCTCGTCATCCTCGTCGCCCTCGCCGTCGTCGACGTCGACGTCGCCCTCGTCGCAGTCGTCGTCTCCGTCGTTATCGTCGTCGTCGTCGATGCCCCCGTCGTGGTCGTGGTGCTGTCCCACGCGTCGGCATCGGGGGCGTCGTCATCGGCGTTGGCGGCAGCGTCGGTGACGTCGGCGTCGTCGTCGTCCATCGTCGTCGTTGGTATCGTCTCGTCCTCTTCCTCGTCGGTGTCGACATCGTCGACGGAGTCGGCGATGGCGTTGGCTTCGGCATGGGCGTCGTCGTGGTTGAGGGTATGTGTCAGGCCTCTCAAGGATGCTGCCCCAGGTGGAGATCACAACTTTCACTCGAAGGAGTAGTCGAGCGAACAATGCACGCAGGGGGGAGGGGCGTACGAGTGGCGGGCAGTGCAGGAGCAACGCTTGGTCAAGAGAGGTCCGAGCACCACTCTCAGCTCAGAATGTGGCAACCGCTGCGCGGGGGGGGCAGGCTTCTTAGGAGGCCGATTCCTGGAAGGCGCGGCTTCACAGCTACAGACAAGGCCCGCGTCTTTTAGGAAGCACGGGTGTTACTAAGAAGCCTCCCCCACTCCCCCTGCCCCCAATCCCCCGACGTCATGTTTTTTTCCCCCGTAGGTCCGACCCCTAGAGGTCTCGACCCATGCCGTGGGGCCGGTTGTGCGCCCTGAGTTTTCTGACAATCCCGAAGCACTGTGAAGACCCCAAGGGGCCGAACAAAACAAATGGAAACAAGTTCCGTTGCGATTTTGTCATGCCTCTATGGGGGCTTGGGCCCCCCCTTCTGTGCGTGGCCGATCTCCGCCCAACCCCTCCAAGCTGAGCACGGGGAGGAGAAGGGGCGAAGGGGCAGGGCAGGGGCAGCTGGCAGAGGACGAAATACAGGGGGGGGGGAGAGACAGGAGATAATGATAATGATAATGAGACTGCACCATGACAATGCCATATCCGAGAAGCAACGCCCCCTGACCTTCCTTGAAGACGTATAGGACAACAAGGAACACGGAGCGCGCGAACTGGAGGAATCACTTCCCGAATAACTGCCAAAGACAACGCGCCACAACTCCAGAAACCAACGTCTCCCACTTGACCGGCATGCGCGCCGCCGCCACCGAACAGCAAAAAACGTCACACACCACAAATCCACCACTTCGAACGCACCGATTGGAAGGAAGGAAAAAAACGCTGCGGGGGGTGACCCGCGCCCGTGCCTACGGAGGCGCCGGGCTCGCTAGCCTCGTGGAAAAAATCAATCTTGCCAGCGCTTGCGGGGGCGCCCGGTCAGTCGGACACCTTCAGGATTCCAGTCTACCAATATATTCGACCACCGCCGGTCTCCACACTGGACGACTTTGTCACGCAATCTGTCTTTCCGGCCCCGTCGCTGCTCTACCCAGCCCGGGATGCCAAACTTCTGGAATTGGCATTCGGCCCTGCGAGTTGCACGTTGGATCCACTGTAACCAAGATTCGATTTCAACGCTGCCGTCCGCCAGCTCGTAGTACCTCCGCGGCGTATCCACCACCCTGCGCATCATTTTATGCTCTTCTACTTTCAGTCTGTGCTCTCTTGCAGCTGTCATAGTCGAGCATCCACTGCCGTAAAGAACGGCTGGCGCCACGACGGCATTGAACAAACGCAACCTGTACTTCAATGGATAATGGTTGCTTGTGAGCTCTGTCTTGTGCATGCCGAAAGCGGCCCAGCCTCTCGAAATCCTATGCCCAATTTCCCGGTCGTGGCTGTCACTGAACGAAATCAATCTCCCAAGATACATAGTCTCGCCGTCATATGGCAATACCTCGACGTAGCCGTCGCCGACTCGTACGCGATGCTGGCGAAGGACGCCGTGGCGACACTCCACATTTGACATAATCTTAGTCTTGCCCACGTGCAGTTTTAAGCCAACCGCTTTTCCACATCTTTGTAGATCCTCTGGCATGCGCCTCACGTGCGCCCTCGTGGTCCCAAATAACAGCACGTCGTCTGCAAACCGAAGATTGGTCAAAAACTCTTGACTTATGCGTGCGCCGATCCGGTTCTTTCGCCACTCTGCTTTCAGCCGCCGCATAAGATGATCCAGAACTGCATTGAACAATGCCGGGCTGAGAGGGTATCCCTGTCGAGTTCCACGTTCCGACATGTATGTGCGGCTAGTGCAATCGGCTACCACCTGTGCTGTTTGCCCGGTGTACAGTCGGACAAGTACTTTGATATACTGCTCTGGCACGTGTTGCGCGCGCAGCGCCTCCCAGATGGCATCGTGGGATACAGAGTCAAATGCCTTTTCAAAATCAACTGCTGCTATCCCTAATGGCACTTGGTACTCCCGCATCTTCTCTTGCAGCAACGCGAAAGTGAGAAGATGGTCGTCGCAACTGAACGCTTTTCGAAAACCAGCTTGATCAACGGACTCCAAATAAGTACACAGCGGTCGTTAATTATCATACTGAATAATTTGTACAGGATCGGCAAGACAGAACTAGGACTATAGTTCTGCGGAAGCTTGGAGTCTCCCTTTTTGAACAAAACCTTTACTCTTGTATGCTTCCACGATGCTGGTGGCGCTCCGTCGCCTATCAGCACATCAGTAAACAAACTCGCAATGGCATCAGTCAGCAACGGGCTCCCGCACTTTAGCATCTCAGCATCGATCCCCTCGCCGTCCGCAGCCTTGCCCCGCTTCGCCTTCCGCAAGTGCTTCCGTACTTCTTCCGCTGTAGAAGGTTGTACATCGGCCGCATGATGGGCACCATCTTCGTCTCGCTTGTGAATTGAATGCTCTTCTCTGTGATGCCAAGAATACAAGTCCTCATTAAAACGTAGCAAACACATCAGCGATGTCTTGCCGGCCTGTCTGTTCACGTCCCTGTGCGTCCACCATGCTGGTCAATGTGTTTCTCTTTCTCCTGTTAAGAATATGCTGGATTTGTTTGACGTTCTTAAAATCGTTCCATATAATTGTAATCTCGTTTCGCGTTCTGTCACGAGTCCATCGTTTCAGCTCTTTCTGTAAGTCCTTGCTGATTGTCTTCACCGACCGATGCTCTGTTCCAGGTGAAGTTTTCCGCGCCCGTCTCCTCTCATCAATCAGTTGCCGAGCCTTGTCGCTGAGCTGCGTGCGGCGCGGCTTACATCGTGGATGTTCTGCCCGGCATGCTTCGGCAGCACCCGTAATTGCACTCTCGATATCTTCACAAACCGCCTGGTTGTCAATGCATTCGGGCCCGCCCTTGTCCAGCTTTTTGTCCACAATTAATTCGTCCGCTCGCTTCGCAAATACAGTTTTCGATGTATCTGACCATTTCCACTTGATACGTTTAGATGTACACTTTACAGTGTTCAGCCGGACCCGAAGCTTCGCGACCACTGCCCTGTGATCCGCCCCAACATTGATATCATGTGTAGCTTCACTGTCTGTTACCATCCCCAGAGCGCCAGCGTCGATGCAAAAATAATACCCCCACGTGTTCATGCGTCCACTGTTGATTGAAACTCTTGGGGAAGAACGTCCCAACGATGGAAACCGACTCGGAGCGAGCCCAAGATGCCATCCACTCGCCTCTTGGATTTTCGTGTCCCTCCCCATGTTCTCCAATGCAGTGGTCAGCTACGTGGTTCCCCGCTTTGCCCACGACAGCGTTCCAATCGCCTCCGGCAAGAAATACAAACTTGGATATTCCAGCATCCACTTTACAAGAAGATAGTACGTGGTACAAGCCTTCCACCTCCTCGTCCGGGCGGAACGCATTCGGCATGTACACAGATTCGAATGCACCGACTGTAACTTGGAAAAGGCCTTCACCTTTTTGGATATATGAATAGTCCCATGCTCTTCGGCTCCTTTCCGCACACGAGACTGATCACCAGAACGCGATACAAATTGAGAGTCGCACTGCACAGTGAAAACAAGATACAACAATAACGCAATGCCTGCCCACGATTGAAGCACCATATACAACAACACTGAATTTAACGCACACGTGCAATTTGAAACGTGCAACCAACAACTTGTGGAATACCACCAGCAAGCAACACATATACACACCCCAAGCGGCAATGGGATACGCTAGTAGTGTAGATGACGGACACTGCACTCAGCTGGACGTGCAGAATAATAACAATAAAGAGCTCCCCATGCAGCAGTGGGAGATACCAACACTGAAGCGCATGAAGACAGGCCAACCGCCAACGCGATGTAGAAGATGAGAGCCGCTGCACCCAACACAAGACGATGGAACCTGCACCGCGCCTGGTCGTAACGGTGCCTGCTGCCACGGCTAAAAATCTCCAGGCATTGAAACTGTCTTGCCGCTGCCCAAGACAGTACCGTAGACCCGTGGAAGTTCGTACCCAATGAGCACAGCAGAATACGTTTTACTCTCTTCACCTCGACTTAGCCAACCCGACCGACCGTGCATGATGGTCCGAAACAGGTCCCACTCAAGCGCCACGGTGAGGCGTCGAGGTGCGACTCAAGACAGAGCGATAAGCAGAAATGCTTAAGGACCCCTGTTCTGGGCCACATGTGCTTGAGGGAAGAGACAGGGGAGGAGGAGGAGGGGAGGAGACGGGAGAGGGGGGGGAGAGGGGAGAAGAGGGGGGAGAGCTGGGGGGCGGAGAGGGGGAGGGATGGGAGGGATGGGGGCGGGGGAGGGAAGGGATGGAGGGGGCATCGAGCGCCAGGAACAACAAGCATAAAGACAAGCCACCTACGTTTACGTGTTGACTGCGCTCCTGTGGTGGGACGCCTGGTTGTTGAGCTCGTTGCCCCGCCCCTGGGCACCCTGTCGGCCCCAAAGTTTTACACGAACGCTGGATGCACGGGTGGATCCACATGCGGAGCATGTGGAGGCCGCAAACTGGGTGCACAACGTTGAGGGCCTCCGTACCCATCCACGCGAGGGCCGAGTGCTGCGGAGAGGTGCGGCCACATGCGTATCCAGATCTCGAGACGGCGGGCCACGTTACCTCCATCGAGCTTTGGGCGAGGGGGCGAGGGGGGGGGCGAGGGGGCCGGGGGGGGGGAGGGGGCGGGGGGGGGGGGCAAGGGATGGGGGCGAGGGGGGGGGGCGCAGCCAGGCTTTCCCTCGCCCTGGACCTTGCACGTCCACCCTCGGGCCGAGTGCCTCCTGCCAAGGCCACTGGTCGCCCTCCCGGCCCAGGTAGGGGCACGCGGCCAGCCGGCCCCAGGAGTCCTGGCAAGGGCTGGCGCCAGGCTCGTGCCAGAGCCAAAGGGACCAAGGGGCGCACGAATGCGTAGACAAACAATCCAGGATTCCCCGTCGGATTCCATATTTTCTGGGTGTGTGCGTCGCCCCGTCCCCTTCCCATCGTTTTCTCTATTTTCACGGGAGTCGACGATTACATGTGTCGGTGTTTGTTCCCCACATGCTTGGTGAAACTATGGTTTTCTTCTCTGCCGCGTCCAACCCGCGTTCCTCCGCCTCCTCACCCCTCCTCCTGCCTCGTCGCGCCCGCGTCTTCCTCTCTCACCTCCTTCTCTCCTCTCCTCCTCCGCTTCTGTCCTCCCCTCACCCACGCGCTACACACGCACGACACGTACATGAGACACGCGTCACATGCAGCCGCACGTATGCACACACTCGCGCACACATCATACAACGCCAGTGCGCGCTTGGCGTGTCGACGGTATCACACATCAAGACGTATGCGCCACATCCTGGACATCCACACAATACGCACGTCCACATGCAGCCATCATACACATACACAAGGCACACAAGACACAAGACATGCATGTAGCCACACGCGCACACACGCATACCCTCATTGAGACACGTGTCCACATACAGCCGCACACACATCGCACACATGCACAAGACACGCAAGACACAAGACACTCATGCGGACACACGGACACACGGACACACACACACACACACACTAACAACGCCAGTGCACGCCTGGCGTGTTCACTGCATCACACACCCACGACGTATGCGCCACACACTGGGCGCCCACATGAGACACACGTCCAGATACATCCGCACACGCTTCATACACATAACACGTACTGGGCACCCACATGATACACACGCACGCCCAGATACAGCTGCACACGCATCATACACATGACACGCACATCATGCAACACATGCGCGCAAGATTCGCAAGGCGTCGCAGGCGTGGCACTTTCTCCACACCACAGGGGGTGCGTAGGGGGTGGTCCCTCACGGCGGCCCCTATGCGTGCCAGGGACCGTAAGCGTGGCAGGCGTGGCACTTTCTCGACACCATAGGGGGTGCGCAGGGAGCGGCCCCTAGGCTGCGAGGGTCTTAAAGAGTGGCAGGCGTGGCACTTCCTCGACATCACAGGGGGTGCGCGGGGAGCGGCCCCAAGCGTGCCAGGGTCTGAGAGCGTGGCAAGCGTGGCAGTTTCTCGACACCACGGGGTGCGCAGGGGGTGGTCCCTCACGGCGGCCCCTATGCGTGCCAGGGCCTGAGAGCATGGCAGGCGTGGCACATTCTCGACACCATAAGGCGTGCGCAGGGGGTGGTCCCTCACGGCCGCCCCTATGCGTGCCAGGGTCTGGCAGCGTGGCAGGCGTGACACCTTCTCGACACCATAGGGGGTGCGCAGGGGACGGTCCCTCACTGCGGCCCCTGTGCGTGCCATGGCCTGACAACGTGGCAGGCGTGACAATTTCTCAACACCACAAAGGTGCGCAGAAGGTCCCTCACCGCGGCCCCTGTGCGTGCCAGGGTCTGAGAGGATGGCAGGCGTGGCACTTGCTCGACACCATAGGGGGTGCGCAAGAGGTGGTCCCTGACGGCCGCCCCTATGCGTGCCAGGGTCTGAGAGCGTGGCAGGGGTGGCACATTCTCAACACCATAGAGGGTGCGAACGGGGGTGGTCCCTCACAGCGGCCCTTATGCGTGCCAAGGCCTGCTAGAGTGACAGGCGTGACAATTCCTCGACACCACAGAGGTGCGCAAGGGGTGGAGGCTCTATCAGTTGCGGGCCAGCAAAGCGTGGCAAGCGTGACATCACTTTCTCGGCACCACAAAGGGTGCACTGCGGGTGGTCTCCATAGCCGCTTCGGGCTTGCAACGCGTGGCATGCGTGGCAGTTTCTCGACACCACGGGGTGCGCAGGGGGCGGTCCTTCACTGCGGCCCCTGTGCGTGCCAGGACCTGAGAGCATGGCAGGCGTGGCACTCACTCGACACCATAAGGCGTGCGCAGGGGGTGGTCCCTCACGGCCGCCCCTATGCGTGCCAGGGTCTGGCAGCGTGGCAGGCGTGGCACCTTCTCGGCACCATAGGGGGTGCGCAGGGGACGGTCCCTCACTGCGGCCCCTGTGCGTGTCAGGGTCTGACAACGTGGCAGGCGTGACAATTTCTCAACACCACAAAGGTGCGCAGAAAGTTCCTCACCGCGGCCTTTTATGAGTGCCAGGGTCTGAGAGGATGGCAGGCGTGGCACTTGCTCGGCACCATAGGGGATGCGCAGAAGGTGGTCCCTAACGGCCGCCCCTATGCGTGCCAAGGTCTGAGAGCGTGGCAGGCGCGTCTCGACAGCACAGAGGTGCGCAAGGGATGGGGGCTCTATCAGCTGCAGGCCCGCAAAGCATGGCAGACGTGACACCAATCTCTCGGCACCACAAAAGGTGCACTGGGGGTGGTCTCAAAATCCGCTTCGGGCTCAACGCGTAGCAAACGTGGCACTTCGTCAACACAGCAAAAGGTGCGGTAGGGGTGGTCTCCCTATCGCTGGGGGGGGGTCTTCCTATCCGCTTCGGGCTCGCAACGCGTGGCAAGCGTGGCACTTCCTCGACACCGCAAAGGGTGTGCTGGTGGTGGTCTCCCCATCCGTTTCGGGCTCGCTACGCGTGGCAAGCGTGGCGCTTCCTCGACACTACAGGGGGTGCGCTGGGGGTGGTTTCCATATCCGTTTCGGGCTCCCAACGCGTGGCAAGCGTGACACTTCCTCGACACCACAGGGGGTGCGCAAGGGGTGGTCTCCCTATCCGCTTCGGTTTCGCAAAGCATGGCAAGCGTGGCTGTTCCTCGACACCACAAGGGGTGCGCTGGGGGTGTTCTCCCTCCGCTTCGGGCCTGCAAAGCGTGGCAAGCGTGGCACTTCCTCGACACCACATGGGGGTGCGCTGGGGGGTGGTCGCCCTATCCGTTTCGGGCTCGCAAAACGTGGCAGGCGTGGCAGTTCCTCGACACCACAAGGGGTTTGCTGAGAGTGGTTTCCCTATCCGTTTCGGGCTCGCCACCCTTGGCAAGCGTGGCGCTTCCTCGACACCGCGGGGTGGAAGCATTACCCGTCCCACGCTTGCAAGGCGTGGCAGGCGTGGCATTTTGTTGACGCTGGAGAGGGCGCGCAAAGGGTGGGGGCACTACCCAGCCCACGCTCGCAAAACGTGACAGGCGTTGCACTTCCTCGACGTCACAGGGTGTGCGCAGGGGGTGGGGGCCGTACCTGTCGCACGCTTGCAAAGCGTGGCAGGCGTGGCCGTGGACACCGCAGGTGGTGCTCGAGGGGGGTGGGGTCGTCCTCGACGCCAGGGGCGGCGCGCAGGGCGTGCGACGTTCTCCACGCGGACAAGAGGGAGGCATGAAGAGCAGGAGGAGGAGTTGGAGGAGGAGGAGGAAGAGGATGGCGAGGAGGAGGACGAGGAGGCGGAGGGGATGAGGATACGTCATGTCAAAGAACTGCGCCCCGCCGCACAATTGCCAGAGATTGGCCGTGCAGAAATTCATACGCCCAGATTGGAGTAGTAGCCAGGAGTGACGGAAAAGGGAGGAGGGGAGGAAGGATGAGGTTCACGCGTTGCGAATGTTGAGATCTTGCGTAGAGGATGACAAGCTGAAGAATATTCGGATTGAAGGTTCGGAAGACCAGGATGTGGCACGGGGCATGTTATATGAACACAGCCGGCCTAAAATCAGTAGGTGGGGTTCTTCGGTAGCGCAATTTGGTCCGCCTGACTCTGCCAGAGCCCTCCCTGGGCGAGCGGCTTTCGATCACGCCCGCCTCTCAAAAGTCGGATTGAGACACGGCTCCCACTCCTTCCAACCCACGGGAGGGGGAAAGAGCTGCCATCCGCACCACCAAGTGTAAGCAGCGGGTTGTGGCGTAAAGGGATGATGTGGATGCAAATCTGGCTCTGGACTCTCCCCCTCTTCTCCTCCTCCTCCTCCGCCTCCTCCTCCTCCGCCTCCTTCTCCTCCTCCTCCGGCCTCCTTTTCCTCCTCCTCCTCCTCCTCCTCATCCTCCTCTTCCTCCTCCTCCTTGGCGGCATGCGGCCCGCAAGCCCCATCGAGTCCAGATTGACCTCGACATCCGCGAGGCTGGACAGCGCACCGCCTCGGCATCCCCGCCGCGGGGCCGCCCAGGCCGCTGAGTAGGGCAGGGCGAGATGCGGGAGGGAGGAGAGAGCGCGGGTGAAGGAGGAAGGCAGAAAGGGGAGAGGGAAAAGGGAAAAGGGAAACAAGGGAGGGAGGGAGGGAGGAGTGGGGAAAGGGAATGGAGGAAAAGGTGTAAGGAGCACTGCCATGAGAAAAGGAAGACTACGGAAAGGAGGGGGAGAGACAAAGGAGGGCTGGCACGGCCGCCTGAGCCGAGAGAGAGGCTGGGAAACAGACGGAGATGACGACGAGGGAGGGTCCTCTGGAACTCAAGATGGAACTCGCGATCCTGCGGGACCACCCTCCAGAACTCAGAACTCAAAATCGGAACTGACAAACGAGCATCTAGAACCCACAATGACCTTGAAGCATCCCTGGTGCCAGGAGCGCAGAGTGACCAGGCCAACCTGCCCTAGCGCAAAGGAGCGCCCTGGGAGAGCTCCAAGAGGTGCCTTTTCGCCCCCCCCCCCGCCCTTCGCTCAAAGCATTGTGACTCTTCTGTATACAGTGTTGGCCGTCTGTGACCTATCGGGAGCACCCTTGGGAACAGATGGCTCCATGATGACTCCAGGCGCCGCAAGATGGCCTCCAAGATGATGCAAGATGGTCCAGCTGGGACAAGATAGCCTCCAACATGCCCCACGACGGCTCCAAGTGGGCTCGGAACCTGCCAATGAAGCCCCCGAAAGGCCAATACCATCCAACCATGTTATGCCTGCGGGCGTGTTTGGGGAATCGCGCCTGTCCGCTTACGATGGGCACGTGAAGCCTCATGACAGCCTACGACCACGCAAGATAGACACGGGGTGGCTCCAAAACGGCCCCAGGGGCGCCCAAGAGTGCCACAAGAGCGCCCAAAGTGGACCCCGCCTTTGTGATGGATGCCTTCCAAGATTGCCACCGAAGACCCAATCCCCCCAAGACGGTTCCAAACAATCCCATACTGGCCCCAACAGAGCCCGACCAACCGATCTAAGATTCCCACAAGGCGAAAACGGCCTTGATGGTTGACTCCCGTCGTCTTCGTCGTCGTCGCCTCCCTCCCCCAAATCCTCATACTCGATCCCATTTCCTTATCAACAATTCCGCCCAGTCGCACTACCAGGCGTGTCGTTTAAGACTTCCTTGCGCTTACGTTTCCCAGCATCTGCAAACTTTGGGGGCTGGTGTTTTCCAAAATGTGGTTTTCGCATTTGACCCACGCACAGTTATTTGCGAATTCGTGAATCGTACAAAACATGGAAGCTGGCTTGACCTTAAAATACTCTCGTTTGGGATTTCCTCAGGTTCTGTTACGCGAAGTCCCCCAGTTGTGCAACAACCGCGCGGATCCAAAACGAATGTGTTCCAGAAGGGTCTCTGGCTCGAACCTTCCGCAATGTGTGTTGCCAGTGTATTGACATGTTGCAACGTTTACGCACATGGAAGCCAGATCCTTTTCAAAGCAGGGAAGTTGCACACGTCCTTGAATTACTTACAACATAAGATCCCGCGTGAGTGGCAGGCCCAACACGGCGTTCGCCATTCAAGGGAGGCGCTCCTCCTTCACGATTCGAAAGATAACGGCTGTCCACTGTGGCTGCTCTACCGCATGCTCCTGCACCTCACTGGTCAGAGGTCAGAGCAGCTCGCCGACACATCGTTTCTGAATGTTCCAGTGGATATCCGCCGGCCCCGGTGTGCAGCCACCTGGCTGTAAGGTTTGGTGTTCCCTGCACCAGTTCCAGCTACTAGTTTCCACTGTTACAGCTCTGCGTATTGCTGCTTACTGTTCCTTGTTGATGGACCGCGTGGGGGCGGGAGAACCACGCCCGAATAACGAACTCTGAATTCCTGAGGGGGGGGGGCGTGGGACACGTAAGAATATTTGAAGCTCGCGCCTCCCAGGCCATACAATCTTGTAAATTATTCGACACTCGCGTCCCCGAAGCCATACCCCCTGTAAATTATACTACATCCGCGTCCCCGGAACGATGAACCCTTGCAAAATACAACAGATTCCAGACTCGTGCCCCCGAATCTATACACCCTCGTGAATTACGCCATACTCGCGGCCCCGAAGCCAGAAACCTAAGTAAGTCACGCCATGTTCGCGTCCCAGAAGCCATAAACCATTGTAAGTTGCACGACACTCGCGCTTCCAAAGCATAGATGCGTACATGATGCAATATTTGCAACCCCGAAGCCAGAAACCTTCGTGAAATACTAGATAACCGCGCGTCCGAAGCCATGCACCCTCGCAAGTTACGCAATAGTCGCGTCTCCGAAGCCATAAACCTGCGCAAATCACGGTACACTTGCGAGCCCGATGCCATACACCCTCGTGAGTAACGTGCTACTCGCGTATCCGAGGCAATACACCTCCGAAATACAACACCGAATTCAACAATATCATCAGAATCTCAATTTGTCTTGCCGAATACTCATCGTCTTCGCGTGGAGTCCCGACGCTGCTTCACGGCGGCGCCAAGACCTCATGATTTCGCTCTTGCGTTGCCCATTATCCGAGAGAGGGGGCCGGCGGCAGGGGGCGAAGCCCTTGCGGATATTTTGTTTCGGTACGCGGGGGCGCGAAGCGGGTCGAACGCCGCGCAAGCAGGGGCAGGCCGTGCCAACAGCTACGGGGAAACAGAGAGGCGAGCAACGCCATGCACAGAGCGGGACGGAGTTCAGCGCAGTCAAAATGGCGCGGACGGCATCGCGAAGCGGCACCGGGAACACGTCCATGTAGATGCCGAACTGGATGTAGATGCAATGGGAGAGCGACCCCACGGGGGCGGTAAGTGGAAGCCCGGGCGCCACGCTTACCCAGGAAGGCGGTGACAGAGGTAGGAGGAAGAGCCCATCCAATTTCCCCAGGTTGCCTTGCCGAACTCGCGGTCCTTGACCCAGTAGGTCTCCACGAGGAACAGCGGCACCAGCGGGAGCACTCGTGATAAATACGCGAAGCATCAATGATCACGTCGGCAGGCCTACTGCCCCAATGGCTCGTTGGACTCTTCCTCTAACCACCCAAGAAAAGTTCTGCAGCACTTCACGTCCGTTGCTCCCCCTTCTCAGGCTTGCCCTAAACTGCCCGAAGTGTCTCCCAGATTGCCCAAACGTGGCCCTAGCGAGCCTCTCCAAAAGAATTCGGCCGTCAGATCCCCAACGGCCCCCGGATTCCCGACACACTTGAAGAGACCCCAAGAAACCCTCAAGAGACCTCGAAGCAGCACACAGACCCGAAGCCCTCACGACACCCCCGATCGAGATAGTTGGCATATGCGGCGCGTTGCGAATTTCAACCCTGCGCTCAACCCCGCCGGACTACAGTAGTTTGCATCCGCTGTAAACCGCACACACACCGAAGCGGTGTCCCCGATGAGTCGAGGATCTCTGAGAGCCTGCGGGTCAAGTGGACACCTGTTCCAAACCGTAGGCTCCATAGAGCTCTCGCCCCCATTCAGCCACGGCCCTTCTTGAATGCCAGACTGAAAAAGAAAAAAGGCCGTCACGCTGCTCTGTCGTGGCGCCCCAGGTTGGCAGGGCGTGCCCCCTACCGTAGGGCTCGGTTTTCGCCGCCGAAACTAACGGCCAGCTGAGTGCGCCACGGGCCGACGCCGCCGCCAGATTCCCCGCGGGGGGCGCCGCCCCGACCTCTCAGGGCGGGCGGGCTTCGTTTGCTACGCGGCCCACTCGGCGTCGTCCCTCGTCGTCTGGGGGAGACGTAAGACTCGGGTACGGGTGACTCGAGTTGGCCTGGCGGGCCAATCATGCAAATGACGAGAACCAATCCGAAATTCGACGCGAGCTCCCGCTGCAAACATCCCGCGAAAACGGGACCTTCAGAATCCAGGACGCGCTCGTCAAAAAGCGTCGGCAAACCCGAGTCGTGGCTTACTCGAGTCTTACGTGTCCCCGATCGTCGTTGGCGCCTGCCAGGAGAGGCTAAGCACAGACAGAGTGACAGGATAATCCCAGACGGAGGCTGGGCACTCTGTGCGGACTCACTCCGCACGGACTCAGCATCCTGTCAGGAGAAGCTCAGTCCAGATGGAGTAATCGGGGGCGCGCAAACATGGATTAGCGATCCATGAATTTGGCGCGCGGTCGCCAGTCCATGGATCGGGGGAGGTACCCTCCCAAAAATGCGGCAGGTGCCGCCTCGTTCGGCGGCAGACATCCGCACTTTCCCATGGAAACGGGCCCCGTCGCTAGTCCACGCCCCCTTGATCCATGTGCTGCGGTCGCCTGATAACTCCACATGGAGTAAGCCCGGACGAAGACCGAGCACTCCGCACGGACTTACCCCGCCGCACGGTCTCAGGATCCTCCGAGGCTGCAGCGGCGGTGGCCCCCCCCCCCTCCTCCCGCCCAGCAGCGCAGGCCCGCCCTGCCGTCTGGGGAGTGCGCAGGGAGAGGGCGGACTGCGAGCGAGGAGGGCGCGGGAGAAGACGAGGAAGAAGAAGAAGAAGAAGAAGAAGAAAAAAAAGAAGAAGAAGAAAAAGAAGAAGAAGAAGAAGAAGAAGAAGAAGAAGGGGGAGGGGGGGGAAAGGAGGAGAGGGAACGAGGAGGAGGGACGAGGAGGAGGGCCGAAGGGGGGAGGGACGAGGAGGAGAGAACAGAGGACACCCGAGGAAGGTGGGGGGTAGGGACGAGCGATCCCGCCAACGAGGGGTGGGGGAGGAAAAGAGAGAAAGAGAGAAGCGACAGGGAAAGGACAGGCGAGCGAGCGAACCCTGGGCAACCGATGCCTCGAGACTTCCGATCCAAGGATATATCGATCAGCACGCGTGCGCCTGATAACTCACAAAATGGCGGTTCCCGACGATATTGTGCAAGGCAGCGGCCAAAAGCTCGTCCCCCCGGCGAGATTCAAGAACATGTGGACGTGTGGCCTCTAACCCTCTCATCACAATGGTTCAACTCTGCACTCGGAGGACCGAGACGTAAGAAAAAACAAGCGAGGAAGGCCAGGGGAACAAGACGCGAGAGATGGCAGAAAAGGGCAAGAAGAGAGGAACGACGAGGCAAGGAACGGCCGAAAAATACGAAAAACACGTAGCACCCCGCAAATGCGGATAAGAGTGAGGGGGCGGGCGCGGGCGACGCGGGCGTCGAGCAATTCAGTGAACGTTGTTTCGCTCGTTCAGTGAACGTTCACTGAACGTAATTTGGGTCGCGGGTGGGTCGCGGGTTTTCTACCTCCGCCTGGAAGGAATCAAAAACAGCCCGCCGCAGGCGCCGAAAATTTCGGTTTGTACACTGAACGCGGTTTGGGTCGCAGGTTATCCACCTGGAGCGAATGCAAAAGAAACCCGCCGCAGGCGCCGATGTTTTAGTTTGTTCAGTGAACGAGGTTTGGGTCGCGGGTGGGTCGCGGGCTCTCCACCTCCACCTGGAAGGAATTCTAAAACAGCCCGCCGCAAGCGCCGAAAATTTTGATTTGTACACGGAGCGCGGTTTGGGTCGCGAGTGGGTCGCAGGTTCTCCACCTGGAACGAATGCAACAGAAGCCCGCCGCAACTGCCGAAAATTGTTGGTGGGTCGCTGGGTGGGTCGCGGGTGGGTCGCGGGTGGGTCGCGGTGGGTCGCGGGTGGGTCGCGGGTTTGGGTCGCGGGTTTGGGTCGCGGGTGGGTCGCGGGGTGGGTCGCGGGTGGGTCGCGGGTGGGTCGTTTGGGTCGCGGGTTTGGGTCGCGGGTGGGTCGCGGGTGGGTCGCGGGGTGGGTCGCGGGTGGGTCGCGGGTGGGTCGCGGGTGGGTGGCGGGGTGTGTCGCGGGTGTGTCGCGGGGTGGGTCGCGGGTGGGTCGCGGGTGGGTCGCGGGGTGGGTCGCGGGTGGGTCGCGGGGCGGGTCGCGGGTGGGACGACGACAACAACAACAAACAACAACAACAACAACAACAACAACAACAACAAACAACAACACCAACAACAACAACAACAACAACAATAATCCGCATCGCGGAATTCCATTTCAGCCACGCACCCAGGGACAGTGAATGACCGTTCGTTTCAGCCCCCTCACTCTGATGTCAGGCGGCTGCACGCTAAGGCATGTGCCCCACCTCTTCGATGCGACGGCGACTACTACGGGCATCATAAAAGGGGCATGCGAACATGACTTTTAGGTCAAAGAACCGCGCTCCTTGCCCCGTGACGGCCAGTACTCCTGTCCCTCACAACTCAAGCACAGAAAACGAAACGAAACCCCCCACTGGCAACAACAACGTATATGTCGTGTTGGGTGTCGCTCACGGCGTCACACAAAAAAGTAGACCAACATGTTGTCGTTGGGATACGGCTTCCCTGGTTAAAATAGCACCGCAGGCCCTTTCGAGTCGTGCGACTGGGCCCCTCGCTGGGGAACTTGAAGTCTTATCGCGCGTGCCGCCATGTGGTTCGTTTGTCTTCCGCCCGGCCGAGCGTGGGCAATATGCGAGCGAGCTGTGCACCAGTTCCTTGCTGATCCCACGTGCTGCTGAGTCATGCGAAATTGAGGGTGTTGGGGGAACTGTTCCGACTAGTGCGTCGTTGCATCCGCATCGCGGGGAGATCGCCCCACTAACTCTGAGTCGGTGCTATCTTCCCCTGCGTTATAAACTGCTGCACTTATGCGTTGGACTTGACCAGATAAGCGCCGAGCTGAGCACTGGGTATTACAGCGTGGGCGTGAGTCTCAGTGTGTTCCACCACTTGACGGCGCGCAACAATGTACCCCGTGCTTCTGGCCAGAAATGCGATCATCTCCGTCTTACTTGTTGTTGAGCCCATCTCTGTTCACACGGCGCAGCACCAACGATCCGAACTCGAGACATCCCCGCGCGCAGCGCTCTTGATATACAACACTGCCCCGCCACGGAGCGCAGGCTTGGAAAGTTGCTGGGCGCCAGACTTGCGAGGCGCGCGACTCTTGAACTCTCGGGAGGGAACAGGGGCTGCAAGGTGCGAGGGAAAAACTACGGAGGGAGAAAGCCCCTTCAACTCAGATGAATCTCATGCCAGCATACCTATCATCTCAGTCTCAATTGTTTGTTGAACCCATCTGTGTTCACACGGCGCAGCATAAACGATCCAAGCTCGCGACATCCCGCGCGCAGCGCTCTTGATATACAACAGTGCTCCAGAATTCGCAAGCATTACGAAATGGCGCAGGGAGGGCGGGTCGGGGAAAAAGAAAAGGAACACAAGACACCAGGATCACGAGCGAACAAGGCCAGGTCGCAGACGGAACCAATATCGCTGCTTTTTTTTCAAGCTCCTTACACGCGGCCAAGCGTCTAGGATGCGCGGCTGCCAGTCGAGCCCACTTGACTCCTCACGGGTCAGCGCCAGAAAGAATGAGATGCGGTTGCTTCGAGAAGCTGCATGGCGCTGGTGGGCGCCTCTGGCACGCGCGAACGACCGACGAGATGTTGGAAACGCCGAAACTCGTAAGCGAAGTCGCCTTGCGCCACCAAGCACCATATCCACACATATAAAAGGTATTGAAACCAACATCTGGCTTGACAAGAAGTTGTCTTATTTCTGGTACTTGCCACAGGAGACTGGTCTGCGGGTTGTCTAACATAAGCGGCGCGCCGAACTGCATTGACAGTTTGCGTAGAAGGGCAGTTTGGTAAACGAGATAGTTGGCATGGTCGAGTTTAAGGCAAGTGCGTTCGCAACAGTTGGGCGCGCCGTATACATGCTCTCGGGTACGAATGGCGGGCCGCCTAGCAGTGCTAAGCGTCGTGCAATGAGGCGCCAAGAGTACACCGAAGCACTGAGAGCTTTCGATGAGAAGCCGAATCCTCCTCTGGACAGCTTTTCGAAACAGATCTCCCCCAGGCCCTTGAAGTACGTCGGAACTGAAACACTTGCAGCCCTGGCGGCAAACAGCCTTGGTGAACTCGCCCTGACCACTGAAAACTTCAATGCATAAAGCGCCCATCTTCTGTCGGGCGTTCCGGCGCGGTGGAGCTGGCCTACGCGCCTCTCGAGCTCGGCCAACAGCGACTTCTCGCTGGCGAGGCAAAACCTGCGCACGCCAGCCCCGAGGTTGTTGAAGACCTCCTGGACCAGCGCCCGCTTCTCGTGCCGCCTGACACTGGCGGTGGACCGCCATCGCCCCCTCTTCTGCGCCTCGGACAGGCTCACCCTGTTCTCTAGGCGGTCGAGGGGCGCCCCGGTGCGTCGCCCCATGTAGAGCACGGGGCCCCACTGCTGCAGCTCTAGCTCGAGGCAAACGTCGAGGAACTTCTCGCGCATCCTGGCGAGGTCGAAGATCCAGAGGGAGCCCTGCGTGGGCCGCGTCTCGGAGTAGCCCACCAACAGCTGGGCGAGCCCCTGCCTGTCTTGCTCGGGACCCCGTCCTCCGCAGGATGAAATAGGATGGCCAGGCTGGGCACGTGCTCCTGAGTCGCCGTCTTCAGCAGCTGGTCCGGGCGCAGGGGCAGGCACTCTCCGGGGCGAAGGTGGGGGTCCACCACCAGCTGCCAGCACAGGGCGTAATCCACCCCAAGCTTTCGCATCAGGCCCGTCGCGATCCCCGCCGCCACGCACCATGGGGGCGGCCTCCGCGCGCAGCTTGGCACCAACCGTCGCCGTCCGCGAAGTGCTCGCACAGTCCGAGGGAGCACAGCCTCTCCCCGATTGCCGTACGCGGGCACGTAGCAC